AATCCAGTGACCTGGCATCCATACATGTAGTTACATCTAGTAGTTGAATTTTGAGAAAAAGCCAAGTTCATAAAGAAAGGGAGTTATATCCCTTTTTATTCTCGGAACCATAGAGTACTAAATTGATTAACGACTCCAATGTTGACAGAATCTCATTTCTAAGTTAAAATTCAAAAAGTCACTTATATAAATAAGAAATCTAAAAAGCTCCTTGTTGAATAAAAATCTAAAATAAATTTCTTTAAAAACTCATTGTTGAATTCTAAAATGTTATTATAAGTTTTTTCTAAATTCCAGAAGTGTGTAACTCATATGATTACACAACAAGCAACTTTTCTTAATGAAGAGAATTTAACTGGGTCTTTATCTTCGTCCTCGGAACTATCTCCATCAATAAGTTGTGCCTGATCTGTATGTTGAAACACACTGTTACCAACACTGACTGTAGGAGACAACTCGGATAATGTCTCGCTGGAAGATTTCGTCTCTTGTAAGGCTATAATTCTATCACATAAATCATAAAATGGCTGAAACGAATACAAAAGAAATCATGAGTAGGGCCAGCCTACCAATACTAGAGGGTATAAATCAGGGGACATACTGACTAAATGGGGGAACAACTGTCTAGGCCAAATAAGGTAACTTTGTGCAGACGTCTTGTATCAAGCCTCTCATTGAGCATTTGAGAGTGATCTCCCGAGAAAATTTTGAAAAATAGAATTAATATTGTGCAATCCGACACATTTTGAGGCAAAACTGTATAAAAATCTTATTTTTTGAAAAGTGGGGGTGCAAATTATTTTTTTTAGGAGAGCAAAGGCCCCACATGTACCCCACTGGTGCTGCCACTGATCATGGGACAGACTGAATCTTGAAGCATTTGAATCACAAGAGTCAAAACAATGAACTAGAGCTGCCATGGCTCTGTGAGTTGAATACTTGCTCGCTAAGCTGAAGGTTCAATCGTGGCACAGGATTATTCAATCCAGTTTCCCTCTGTCAGTGATGCAGGTCAATAGCCTCGCATGCTTCAGGCTGTCTTGTTGTTGACCTGAATAGTAAATGAAACCTAATTCTGGTAATTATACCTTTTGTAAGTTTTCTCTATCTTTGGCACTTGTTTCAAAAAATTTCAGCTTTCTTTCTGCTGCAAACTGAAAAAAAAATCTTTCATTGAAATTTCAACTGACTGATGGGCATGTCTTATCCTGTTTTTCGTGGAGAATGTGGCGTCTATATTTTTTCTACAAGTATGTTGTAATACTGTTTGTAACAAATATAGCAGATCGATCGCAGGCAGTCTGAAATTGTTTTTAATTAATTAATTTCAGTATAAGTAGAGCATGATAGCTTTAACAACGAACCTGTTGTCCCTCTATATACTGAACTTGCCTTTTCTCTTCTTGATCATGTTTATTACCCAGCACTGTTATTACTGTATCTTCTTTAGAAAACTACAATATAATAATATTACTATACTGTAATATGGTTTGTGTACAGTAAGTCAAGTTAAAATTAGACAAAGGGGGATCTGGGTGGATGTAAAATACTAAATTGAAAAAAAGAAACCACTTCTTTAATTTGGTTGTTGTTTCCAAAATGTGGCTTGTTTCCATTATGCTAGAGTCTTGACAATGATTTGGTTTTGGTATGGGGCCTTGAAATACTAAAACTGCATGGAGTGGAGTGATGGTTGTCTTATGTCTGGTGTGCAATTGTTTTCATTAAATTTTCATATCTTTTGGTAAAATTTTCGACTTAACATCAATGATTTCCCACATCTTGATTTGATTAAAAATAAAAGTATACCCAAGTAAAGAAACTTACTTGTTTGACGTATGATAGCCATTTTGGTAAAGATTCAAATGTAGACCTGCTACAAATATCATAAACTAACATAACACCCTACAAATTAACAATATCAAATAGATAAATCATAGCTTATTCCAATAATATCTGATATGACACAGATTTATAGTTAAGGTAGAACATCATCACTATGGTATCATGAAAGAAAAAAAGGCGTCTGACTATTAAATTTTAGAAATGTAGGTCTGATACATTTCAAAGAAGCAAAAATGATGAGATTGTTACTCTGGGTACTTTTCTGCTGTTTGAAATCATTTTCCCTTTCACATTTTATAACAGAATTATCTTAAGGTTTAATTCAAATAAAAGAGTTTGGAATTTGTGAATGTGTCAAGTTTGCTTTACTGGAAGACAAAAAAAAAAACTATTGAATCTGCAGGAATTTGTGACTTGATGGTGCCAAATTTCTAGAGTTTTAAGGTTATAAGGAATCTGACCTGAGCTCTTCTATAAAACTGTTTAGTTATAGATTCAAACCGTTCCTGTCCAGCAGTATCCCTGAAATATAATTAGTTTCTTAATTAAAATATAATATATTTATTTAAAATTCTGTCATCTGATTCAGTTTTGAGTAAAAACGACCAAAATAGGCTGTTGCTTTTGGAGGCTCAAATCTATTGAGATGAAGTGTTTTTATTTCAATATGCCAAGACAGGAAAAATACATCTCAAAGTTCGGCCATTATTTTTCAAACAAATGCTTTGTCCTCTCACATATTTTCAATCTCTTATTCAAAAGGTAAAAAATATGATTTTAAATAATTAATATATATAGTCTCACCATATTTGAATCTTGACTGTATGTCCATCAACATTCATAGTTTTCATTTTAAAATCAATTCCTGAAATAAAATTACAGATTGTATCAACTTCCACTGAGCACATGAAACCTTGTAACTTCTTAGGCACAATCATTGCCTAATTTACCCCTCCCCAATCTCAGCCCTCCCTCACCCTCCTCAGCACCCACCCCCTCTCCTCAGCACCCCCTCCTTATGAATTCTCTGTATATATCGTATAAATATGACTGGCCTAGGGGGGTTAAACCAGGCTACTACTAGGCCTAGACTGCTAGAGTAGTGTCTTGCCAGTTGTCACCCACAAAAAAACCCAAAAAACAGCGCTGATGGGTTATTGAGTTTTAAAATAGGCAAAGAGTCCAAAATAAACCTTGTTTTAATGGATGTTATTTCAGAGAAAAAAACTGAAAAAAACAAAAATAACAGGATTAGCCCCATATATTATATCAGTCACAATGAGTTAAAACAAATATAAATCATGTAGAAAAATATTTCCACCCACTTCAAGATGAACTTTTTATATGACAAATGAAAATCCATGGTAGTTTGTCAGAGATTGTGATCCTCTAATGGCCCTTTGGGTATTTGGGCAAGAGGCAACATTGCTTTTAGTATATTTTTGGTATACATTGTTTGATGATGTGTGATGGTGTTTAAATTTCTTAATTATTGTGATACAAACCTTACTATAATCACAATATAGACTTGTTCTGTACTCGACAATTCAGAGGGAGCTGAAGTGGCTCAGTGAGTTAGATGCTTGACCTGAAGGTCCAGGGTTCAATCTCAGCATAGGTCCAGATAATATCTTTGGTTTTTCCAAACCGTTTCCCCCTGTCAGTGATGCAGGTACAAGGGGCTGAGTTGGAAAAAGCGTCTAGTCGATCGGATAGGACAATAAACCGAGGCCCTGTGTGCTACAGGCTGTGCACGTTAAAGATCCCTCAACAGTTGGAAATCTAAGGCTAATGCCGCTGTCCTGGCAAAATTTCCCTCATTGCACTCTACATGGTGTTACCCATCATCATTAGCCTAAACAGGTGAACATTGTATCTGACAATCTGTGAGCTAGTATTTAAATGTAGGTTACTTACCAATAGTAGAGATATGTGTATCATAAAATTCATTGTTGGCGTATTGACAGATTAGACATGTCTTTCCAACTCCTGTATCACCAACTAATAACAATCGTAATAACACATCGTAACGTTTAGTTGACATTTTACCTAGGAACGTTTACATCTATAGGGATTGTTTACATCTATAGGGATTGTTTACATCAAATCACTTTGGGCTTTACATCTCATATCTGAACTGTCATATCTCAGTTTGATTATCTACTAAGAGATATCTAATTATATCTAAAAAGAATGTTCACAATAGTTCTAAACTTCAATAATTGGTTACTTTAATACTTCAGTTTATTAGCTTCTCTAGTTGGAGGTATCCCACAATCAAATGTAGCCTTCGCACTAAATAAAATAATCTAATATTTCTTTGGCTTGACTATTTGGTTCTCCTAAATTGCTGGTTTGATAGTTGTTCCTTATTCTCAGTTATCAGCATAAATATTCATCCAAATAATCTGAAATAACAAAAATATCAGTAAGATAAAGATGTTTCTGTGTAATTTTGGGGAATTCGTTAGAATATGCACTTTTATAATGTAAATCAAGGAGATCAAAGAAAAATGTATCTCAATATGACTTGAAATATTTCTTTGAACAAATTTAATACTTAGTTTAGCTTTCTATATAAATAGATTTAACGCCTCAATAGAGTTGAATTCACTTCAATATTTGTTCCTTATACAAATTTAAAAGAGAAATCATTCATACGAAATGAAAAATCCAATTCTTTACATGTATCATTTAAGACTGTATCTAATGTAAAATCATAGATCACTTTTCTACAACAATATGTAAAACAATTCTCCAATGTGTCCATGGCCAGTTCTATTGGTGGTTTCACATGTGATAAGCCTACTTCCTTGACAACAAAAACAATACATTTTCCTCAGATCACTAGATATTCCTAACATGTCACTTGTCCTCTAGAAGTTTTATACAAGAAATACATTCCTTAAATACTTCAGGAAATAAAGAGTTTACCACTATATTGGGTTTGTGGGCTCATAGTCAATAGCTGAATGGAAATAATTTCTTATAATATCAAATGATATCTCATTGTGGGACTTTGCTTTCAGCAAAGTCCCAGTTTGTTATCGAAATGTCAATTCTTTTTTTTTTTTTTTTTTTTTTTTTTTTTTTTTTTCGAAATTTACACACCTTCCTGAGCTTAGACTACAATAGTTGCAGCAACCATTCAATATTCACGAACCTTAGATATAGGCGACGAAGTGCTTAAGTATATTTTGGATCTTTTTTGCAAAACCGGAAGTGCCACAGTTCAATATGTGCAAGAATAGATAATCGGCTCTAGAAGTCGTATTTTTCGGTCGATTTTCTTTGGGTTTGCATTTTTGGAATCTACTGTTAAAATCTGAAAGAATAGCAGTATCAAAATTTCAAAATTCGAAAATTTGTCGCAGACATTTTTTGGCCGATTTTCGAAATTTTTGGACCATTTTTCAGTTTTTTTCGGATTAATCTGAAATTTAGATTAAAGATGCATGTCACTAATGTAAACCATTTGACGTATTCAAAATTTTTGCGTCACTTCCGGTTAAAGTGGAAAATCGATTTTCACTTCCGGTTGAATAACTTCCGGTGTGATTGAAATATTTCAACGAAATTATGTATATCGTTATAATCTAATAT